CTTTGCCTTTGGGTCTAATTCCTCACGATTTCTTCCTTGGTACAAGCGAGCTAACACCCTCAAGGATGTTTCTCACGCGCATGCCACTTAGGTTAGTATTGTAATATTAAAGATATAATTTTTTTATGTAGGTTTTGAGGAAACGCCCACAATCATCTCGGTCTCTGAGGGTGGAGCTAACGTCTTCACTGTGTCTTACTTCACGGCACAGAGCAATAAGCAAATGGCTACAGCAGCTGATTTTGACAAGGTAGAGAAATATTTAATATAATTAATTAACGAAATAAATTATTAATTTGATTTTATCAATCAATACATATCCTTGAGTAAAATTAGGAGATTGGTTTGTCGAATAAAGATTGAATTTTATCTCTAGGACACAATTTAGACAAAATGTTACCTTATCGATTGTGTACCCGTTACTCATTGGTCCCGAATTGCTCATCCCAAACTGATGGGCTATAACTATGACGCAAATTGTAAAAAATCGAATCCCATACAGAACCTCGATGCCTTCCTTCTTGAATTTTAAAAGATTGTTCGCATTCTCGTTTATATCGAAAGCTTTGGTTACAAAGTTACCTAAAAGCAAAAATTATTAAAATAAAAACATATTTCGATGTCAATTGACACGTCATTTAATAACTTACTATATTTTGAGCCTTTGTTTAAATTCGTGCTTATTACAGCGATTGCCAGGAGACCAACAGTCAATGCTCTGTAAATAATTTTATTCATTAATTAATATATTAATAAAGATATTCTATAAGAGAATTTCCTCCAACTCTGATTTTATTCTCTTTGGAGTAGAGAGTCTGGGACTGTAAGGCGCCTACTAGGTAGTACTGGGGAGCCCAGAGCTGGTGCTTTCCTCACTCAATGAATAATTAACGCAATACAGCGAAGATGTAGTGCCAGTTTTAAAGGTACACTGGCAACAGGGGCAATCTTTTTCGATTTGTTTTAGTTTTCTATTTTATACTTAAAAAATTTTGTAAGAATATTGTAAATACACTATCTTTGTTATTGATTATATGTGTGTGTAAAATGAATAAATATCCTTCTATAAACATAACATTTTCGTACACTAATAATTTAATAACTTTAGGTAGATATTCGTTGACTTAAACTTAGTAACAGAATATCTATTTATTTGCTAAATAACAAGAAAGTGTAAATAATATGCATGAAACTTGCAACATGCAACATTGAACACCTAATCTGCGTAAAAAAGGAGAAGAGCGTAATCCTGTACGTTTGTATATCACTGAACTCCGCTTAAACCGCTGGATCGATTTGAATGAATTTTTTATATGCGTTTGGGTGGCGCCCTGGATGGTTTTAGATTCACAAATCGGCCCGGTAGATGGCGCTGTACCTAGTCGTTACTTTCATACTTTGTTTAATATCCTAATCGCTTGAAATATCATCTATCCGCTACATTCAATTTTTGTTCCTGATTTAGACTGTTCTTTATTACTTCGTATGAGATACTCACATAAACGAATAGAAGAGGGCGTCGTACTCCAAACGTTGATTTGTTTTTTCGCAGCTGCTTACAGCCACATTAGCCTTAAGACCTGCTGTTCCCAGGTGGCTGTGTGCCAAGAGGATTCCCATTAATCGAGTTACAGATTGTTTTTCACAAACTGCTGGCACACATACACCCCATGTTAGTTGGTTTAGAGGCCTTTCGTAGGGCCCAATGTACTGAAACAATATATAAATCAGTAACTTTTTTAGGTCTGGGCCTAAGATATCTGTAGGTATCTGTTTCATGATCATTTGTCAATCTAATAGGCAAGTAGGTGAGCAGCCTTCTGTGTCTGATACACGCCGTCGAGTTTTTGGGTCTAAGGCAAGCCAGTTTCCTCACTAGGTTTTCCTTCACCGTTCGAGCGAATGTTAACTGCGCACATAGAAAGATCCATTAGTACACAGCCAGGGATCGAAACGACGACCTCGGGGATGAGAGTCGCACCCTGAAGCCGCTAGGCCAACACTGCTCTGAATTAATATATGTATATGTATAAGGCGCGCTTAAAAATCTTGAAATATATCTTTAGCGCTTTGATATGGGTCAAAAGTGAAAGTAAGAAAATAATGTTGCAGAAAAAATATGAAACAATTGAATATTTCTTCTTCTGCAAGGCTCGTTCTCGAACTAACTTGAAAACTATTTAAAGGTGACGATTGCTAGCGATTATTTAAATAGCAATTCACTTTACATGAATATCACGCCAATATGTTAATTAATAATACAACTAACAAATAATGCCCTCTCACCTCAAGCAAGTTTAACGCCGACTGGTGGGGATCGTATGGGTTTAACTTTCGTTTCTTAGCATTTTTGTTTGTTCTTTCAAGTACAATCTCTGCTAAACAGTACTGAGCCCGCAACTCCTCATGATCTTCGTACCACGGCGCGTCCATACATTCATCGTAGTTACCAAGCTGGAAGCGACTGCCATATAAAAGACCCTGTGGCTCTGCGGGTATAGAATCCCAATCTGGAAAAAAATGTATAACATTGGACCTCTAATAACTTTGGCTGGCAAGTTGGTTTGTTCATTTATAAACATAATATTGTAAAAATAACTTTAATTAAAAATAGTTCTCGCAGTTCGCTTGGCAGTTGTTGTCTAACATTACTAATTTTGTAGATCACTATCATCTTTTGCATACATGTGTTTTTTTTATTAATATAAAATATTTATATCTAACATCGACGTCTTTTGTGACGAATTTTGACTCATTTCTGAACAATACATTTATTTGAATGGACATTGTGTGCAAAATATCGGCTGAATATGGTAACGACAGTATGCGCATGCACAATGCGGAAATTTGTTAAAACTGTAGTTCATTACTAATTTAATGTGTTTGTGGGTTCATTACAACATGATTACGGAAATGTTAAATATGCAATTATGTAATAACCTTTTTGCAACTCTATAAAAATATTTACAATTACAGACAAGATTCTCTTTGAAAATTTTGATAAAATATCCAACACCACTTTGAACTATAGCAATTTCGCACACAATAATTATTCACGTGAAAGAATTAATTGGGCAAGTAATTATATAGAAATCTTGGTTATGTCCTACTTAATATCTCTATCTCAATTTTTTATTTTAGAAAGTATTGCGTAACTTTTTGAAAAAAATATAAATTCTGATATTTAAAGTACGATTTATGAGTATCTAGTATTTTAATATTTGTTTAAATTTGTGTTTATACTACCAACGCGTTTTCGTTTTATAATAATATAAAATAAATCTAAAGAAACAAATTGGAATCATTTGCAGCGCAGTATTTATTTATTTAAACTTCGTTACATTAAAATAAAAACAAATAACACAAATTATTAGGGATTCAACGGGCGGCTTTATCGCTAACAAGCGAACTCTTCCAGTAAATAAGCTATTAAGAAAAAAAAAAAAAAAAAAGAAATACTAAGAGAAAGTGCATAACCAAATCAACAAAAATAAAATTACAAGTAACGCTGAAAAATTATACAATTACCAAACTAAACTCCAATAAAAAAACTTATTAAATAAACTACGAGTAAAACGTAAAAGCTCACGATTCATGAATTACAATGTAATACAAAAAAATAAGACAATACCTACATGAATTACAATTTGTATTCCGAATAATTGCTTTAATATAGAATCGATTAAAAATTAATAAGACCAATTACGAAGCGTCGCCCTTACCAACTTTTTTATAAAATTATACAAGGTTTAATTTAAAATTGCCAACATCTAGTAGTATCAAATTTTTCCGTGAATGATAAAAAATTACGAAAATATGAATTGATACGCGATTATATTCATTAACTTCGTAGAAATGTTTCTTAGCATGCCTGCAAACTAAATTAATATATGAATTTCCACTTACTCCAAACGGCCCATAGTGTAAAATTCTGGAGATTCCGAAGCAGAAACAACGTCTGTTGCAGGCACGGTTGCTCCTCTTGGGTCCAATTTTGGTTCTTTAAAACAAACAACACATCTTCAAGGTAGACGTAACTTTCGTTGAAAAGAAATGTCTTTGAAATCACACTATTTTTTCCTTTCGACTCCTCTTTATGAGGCACCCCACTTCCGGCATTTTTTGCAACGACAACTGAACTCTCACTTATCACAAAATTAATTGAAATAATAAATAGCACCGCGTATCTCTGTACTGTTTGCATGTCGCTGTGTCTATGAACTGAAGCTTAGACCAAGATGATACAATATAAAAGAAGTGGAATTGCATAATTAATGAGGAGTTATTATCACTTATACCTAGCATTGTGTTCAATCTAACAAAGATTTATTGCATCAGGGAGAGAGCACGCGAGGACCTTTAGCAAATCTGCAAACTCAAATATGTAAATTAAAATTAGTCTTATGTTTTTCACAGCTTTTTTTTTCATCAAGGGCTGTATATATCTTCTATGATACTTGTTTATTTTACAAATATCAAATTCCCACCATCCGGAATTTGGTTTGGTTAGATTTGAATTTTTGTTTTTTTTGTCTGGTCTACATTTTCCTAAATGTGATTTCAATCAATCAATCAATCAATCAAAATTATTTATTCATATATTGGAAACACAATGTACACTTATGAACGTCAAAAAAGAAATATATATTAAATCCTTCTCATTTTACATTTACCATCAGTTCTCAAATCAATGGCGTAGAACGGAAGAGAAGAACTGGCAATAAACTCTCCGCCACTCTTTTTAATCGCCAAGTTTTAGTATTAATCAAGAATACAGGTTTAATTGTATTGCCAAACGGGCGTCTATAAACTCCACTTCAAAAATTAAGTTAATAACCTTATGACATAATCTTAAACAGTCTAAAAGAAACTCAATCAGAATACATCCGTAGCGCTGGTGTCGCGAACTATGTTTTACGTGATACGAAAACCAAATATATAATATACGAATGCTAGTTCTGCTATATTCATAACAGAATATTTATTGCATTCCTTTACATTACTGTTTGCGCGCCACCTATCTAAGCACAGGCATTGCATTGGAACAGGAATAACTTAACAACCCTTGTTCGTGAGGTACAATCCTATTACATATTTATTTTGAGGTTTGAAATATTTTGGCAGAGATGGCGCCACGTGTTTAATGACAGAACAAAAATGGATTTTAGATGACGTTCAAGAAGTGAAAGCTATAATAATTTTCTATATTTTCATAATGTAATAGGTTTTAACTAACATAAACATAGTTGTTTGTCAATTCAACTACTGTCTCTACGCAAAAAAATGAACATTATTGTTTGTCCAGTGTTTTGTTTTGTTGATGATTATTGCACAATTAAGGAAATGAAATGCATTTTACGCTATAATTTAATTTATTCAATGAACTTTACATACATTGACACTATATTAAATATTAATTAATATACAAGACTTATAATTTACAAATTTAAATGTTACTTATTCTAAAAAATATCAAACAGTGCGCAAGCTATACTAAGAAGTGAATAACACACATTTATTTTTGCTTAATATAATTTTTTTTTATTATATACCTATTTCTATACGTCACTGTCGGATAATAATTATGACGGAATATTTTAAATAACATTTTGCATACAATTTGCTAAACATTCATAGTACTATATTATGTTATATATAAATGCTACTATCATTTTAATATTACACAAAACAACACAAATATATTGATTAAGTATACTTTCAATTGCGATCGCCAAAATATGTTTATTATTACCAAACTAATATAAGAGACATTAAAAATCTAATAAATAAAATTATAATATATAAATCTATATTAATGTTAAAATATAGCGTCATTTATATACATCTTTGGAACGCGTTTCAAAAACACACTGACTAGATTCCACTCAATATCTCCTCTTATATATTATCTCTCTTAACTAATTAGGGGTGCAGGACATCTTTAAACTTAGCCTATATAAGTTCTTACTTGTCATACTCCCCATAAACTCATAATAAATTAGGATAACGTTATACGTTTCTATTATTTAATTTTTGAAGTAGCTTAAAAATCGAGAACTCATACATATAAATTTCTGTAAATAAATTTGAATTTAAAAATAAAGTAGTAAATAAATCTTGACTTTGTAGTAAAAATAAATTTAGATTTAAAAATGACTAGAAAATATAATATTTTTATAATTTGACTAGATTTACGATAAAAATAAATCGCTTGTCGTAATTAATATTCCGCACTTCTTCTCTTGAAAATGCAAACTATAGTGACTAATAATATAATGACTAGACAAAACTTTATTAGAATATATTGAGATCAAAAGATACTTGACTAGTAATTGCTTGACTAGGCTTTGATTGACCAAAAAATCTTTCCGTTATTCTTTTCGAACAGTAACATGAATTTTTATAGAGTTATTTCTTGCTTACGTATTATACTAATACGTTTCTTGTTGTTGTTCGTTGTTTTGGGATTTATTTGCTGTTGCACATCACTTGTACGAGGCAAGTGAACAACAATAATAGTATTTGACTAGATTTTGTACTCGAGATCTTAGATTAAATATTTGGTTTTACTGACTAAAACTTACAAAATATTTTTATTTGGTTTCAAGACTAGAAATCGTTGCTTAATAATCGTACACTGTACCTCTATTTATAGTGCCATAAGTAGGACATGACCCCCGAGAATTGCTATGGAGGCAATGAAATAATTATGAGAAGTATCGATGTGGTGCATCTAAAAATATGCACAAACTTATTGATTTTGTAATTCACGTATTTCAAGACAGAAATGACCTTCTTTAAACTGGTGACATTTCAATTGGTAGACACATGAATTAAATGGTTTCGAACCTTTTGAAATTGTCTGGACATTGAAAAATCATTTTTAACTTCTCCTGAAATTTATCTTGGAATTGATTCATGATGATTTGTTAATTTTCAAAGTGAACTACACCTTAAAATTTATTACTGATTTTTAAGCTACTTCATATGTATATGTTACATTAAATGTGTTATTTACACATGAGATATGTTTGACATCGTCTCAAATCATTTTGGAATGCTGCTGTAGGAGAATGTACACTTAAAAATTTCTAAATTAAAAAAATACAACGTAAAATCTGTTATAAAGGTATCCCCACTGTACAATTCGTAATTAGCTAAAACACACCTATACACCATTATTTCTAAACTACATTATTATTATTTACGATTTATACACAGAATGCCGATGCTAGTAGTACCTTTAGGAGAAATAGAAAGAGTCTCCATACGGCCCCGAATAGGGGTAGGCAGAGCCAAGGTTGTACGGAAATCGCGGCACGGGCCGCAGGATGTGACGTCAGCCATCCACCGTCCCGCCCCCTTCGTCCTCCGATCCCGTGACATCAAGGCTTCGAGAGTCCTCGGAGGAGCAATTTGAAGGACAGCGAGCGCGAACATCCTCCCAGCTCGTCTCTCTTTGTAGGGGCGGTATCTTATTCCAGAAGTTGTTGAAATTGTTGTCTCGCACGGTTTCCTATAAAAAAACAATATATTTAGGGTCTGTTTCACAATGTACGGTATAAGTTCTACATAAGTTCCAAATTAGCTATTTATTACTTATTGGTAGGATAAACACTCACTAATAACGTCACGTAAAGTCCATCATAAGTTATGAGTCCGATGAAGTGTCAAATAGCACAATTTATCTTCCAAATAATTTATGTGTTGCATAGCTATTTGGTACTTTATCCATACATTGTGAAAAAACTAAATAATATCGTAACTACTAATATCTCTTTATAATGATTAGTACTACAACTTAATATAAGTTCGAAGTAAGTATGTTAAATTTTTTTGGACAAGGACGTTGCGATTTTAAGGGTCAGAATATAAGTTGACGTGTAACATACCGGTTGATATGAATAATCAACTTGGACTTGACGGAAGGCCGATGGCTCCTTATCAATATCGTTGTCTGGTTGTTCATGAGCTAAAAGGTGTTTCCGTAGATACGCCTGCCTTCGGAAGAGCTTGCCACACCTCTCGCAAGAGAAGCGTCCCGATTCTGTGTTCGCAGGCTCTCGACGTTTCGTCGCTCCAGGTACCCTAGGCTTATGCCATCGACGATGCGAAGCCAGATTGGCTGGGCAGTTAAAGACCTGCAAACATATACTATGTTGTACACAAAATATTAACTTCTATCTTTTTTCCGGTGACCACAAAAAAACTTTTCTCGCTCAACGAATAAGTATCACAATACAGCCAGGAAATGCTGCCAGCGTTAAAGGTACACTACCACAGGGACCAATTAAGGGTTTTAATTTTCTTTTTATTAGTTTTTAATTATACTTATTTTGATTATGTAGGTTAAGAAAATTGTAAATTGTGTATTTGATTGTTATGATTACTAATAAACAACTTTTAAATGTTGTATAATCTCTTATTGTAATTACCCTCGTACCAGAACATAAAATTCATATATGTAACATAGAGAATCATCGAAAAGTATAATGTGAGATAGAGAATCTACTTACTGCTTACATCGGTACTTTAAATTATTTGTAATTGTTATGTAGTTAGAATTTTAGAAATAATACTTTCGTGTATATCTTAAGTAACGTTCTAAAATATAAATTTAATTAATAAAATCACGATTGTTTATGCTGTAGCAACGTTAACTATTTTCTAGCTTGTATTGCGCATTTATCAAGGAATCCTAGACCTATTTTGTTGCATAATTACGTACTGATAATTGCTTCGGTGAGTTGCATCAAATAAGATAAATGCTAATGATCAGCGTCACGCACAGTATTGTCAATTAAAATAAACATTTGCTAATGGTGTATTCCCATGGAAAAATGCCAAGTGTTTATCCCCTAAAAATGGGTTCCCACGCACGGGACATGTCAATAAAATCAATTAGATAACAAGAATGATTATGGAATAACGGGGATGTTTATATTGAGAAGGGTTAATGATTACAGTTAAAACGTTTATAGTTTAAATTATAAAAGACATACAAACTATTAAAACTTTCAAAGTATATTTTGATATCGAGGTTTGGTTTTAATTTTATAAAGTAAACGTATTATTATTAGTATCATAGATGTAATTTTTTATTAATTTATTATTATAACTTTTTATAAATTAGGGGGGGCAACGAGCCTACGGGCCGGCCAAATAGGGCAGTCATCGCAGCTTATGCACACCCATTTTTAGTGGGCGCGTTGCCGGCCTTTGAGGGAGGAGTACATTCTAACTTTGAATAGTTGGAGATCCTATCTCTCAGGGAAGATCCCCACCGGGAGTCGATTCGACAGTTCGCTAGTTCACAAAAGAAAATGCCTTGTGCATCAAGGTGATGTTGTCGAAATTTTGGATTAATATTGTTTATCTTTGATAGTATGGTATAGTTAATAATAATACATGTACATTTATTAAATACAGCGTAATATCACGGCATGGTCATTTGAATTATTTGTCAATATATAAACTTCGGATTTTATATATCATATATAGTTAATACTATATTATACATATATGGACTACACAGCTGTAGGTACAAGTACTTTATTGCCAAAGAATGTTATCAATTAAATCTTGGTAAAAGAAAACAAATGAATACAGCCAAATAAAAATAAGAAACTCACCTTATCGCATTCCGGGCATCGATATTCAATATGTACAATTCTTGAACATCTGTGCTGGGCCAGGGCAAAGGCGTCGTTGTACAAACGCCTGCACAGTCTGCAGATGTATCGACCCAGACGGTTCTCGATCGTTGCTATCAAAGCTTTTGCCTCCTCAGTTACTTCCACCACGTTAAATGCGGGGTCTATGTCACCCTAGAAATGAAATGTTGAATGATAACCTGCTCATCTTTTGATAAGAATAAAATTTTGTATGAATTACTTATTAGTCACGGCCAAGATTAAAAAATAAATTAATCTGTGGCGCTACAACCTTTTTAGGTCTGGACCTGATATCAGGTTATGTATCTGTTTCATGGCCATTTCTCAATCAAATGGTTAAGTCAATATATATGTCAATAATCAGCCTCCTGTGCTTGACACACGCCGTCGACTTTTCGGGCCTAAGGCAAGCCGGTTTCCTCACGATGTTTTCCTCCACCGTTCGAGCGACGTAGAAAGAAAGTCGGTGCACAGTATCGAACCTACGACCTCAGGGATGAGAGTCGCACGCTGAAGCCAACACCAGGCCACGTCCAATACTATGTAATATTGATCTGATGCAGAAATCCCTAGCTTTATATTTTGTTCTAAGTCTTATAAGATATTCTGGTACACCATAAGCGTGCCCGAATGAATTTTCAGATTTAATCGTCCCCTATCGTAACATTTTTATAAATAACACGTTTTGTAGCATAAATTGACGGAACCGCGATAAAAATCACGATAAATCTAAAAGACGGGATTTATTTCATGAAATGTCTCTAACTGCTCCGGCGCTTAATGGGGCGGCTCCCTCGGAAGTGTTATTAGCGCAAAACACAACAGTACGCGATTTTATACCGTTTAATTGCACGATAAGAAAAGTCACCCGCGACCCACAGTAATTGTATGGTGAGAACTATTAATTAACAGCTCATGTGATTTCGCTGTTTACTTGATATTTCTCAATGTACTTTTTAAAAAGCTTTCTCATAATATCTAAGCTTAGATGGGTTTTTCAAAGTTAAGATACTCGTAACATAGAAAACATTTTTTTTTAATCAATTTCTATGATTTGATTTTTCAATATACGGCCGCTTTCTATAATTAATTCCAATCCAATTTTTTTATTGATTGATATTTCTATCCATTTCTCATAAAATATTTTCCAATAACCGATCGATAGATCGATAGTCAACCTGTTTTTGTAAACCATCTTTGGAATGACTGATCGGTAATTTTGGATTGATATTTGTATGAAAATGACAGATCGACGCTTTCTATAAAATATCTTTGAATTCGACAGATCGAATTTTGACAATTATCAATCATCTCAAGTTTGATCTCCCCACTTTGACCGAGTCGCGATTGTTGCGGTGCTGTTTTGTTGTGTAGTATAATACCTAGCACGTGTTAAAAACCATTAAAAATGGATTTATTTTCAAGCGATAATGACAGTGATCTAGAGATTCTAGGTCAGTTATCGGAGTGGGATGATAGCGACGGTGAACAAGAAATATTTGTGTCTTCAAAAAGTTATACGATTATAACGAGTTAACGAGTTTGAGAGTATTCTAGTACCATTTGTCTTAAAATAGGCTTTAGTTTATTTATTACTATATATACTACGAATAAAACTTAATTTACCTTTCTCACTACTAAAGTCTCGTCTTCATCAAGATCTCTTATAATAGTCCCTGATACCGGCGAGGTTTTATCTTCGTCAAACATCAATCGCCTAACAACTTTGCTTTTCTTCAATGGCTGTTGCGGTTTCGGTGACTTTCTGGGGCGCTCTTCGACGTCCTTGATCTCAACAATTTCTGGTGAACTTCTACCACTTTTCTCCCCATCGTTTGGGAGGCAAGTACGCAATTCGTCGAAAAACTGTTTAGTAAACTTTAATTTTTTAGCTTCAGGGCTATCGCTGTCGTTCGAATTTTCTTCGTAAATTTTTCGTTTAATTTTGTCTTCGGATTCATCTTTCGTCTCGTCGTCCTCAAAGTGACGAAATATTTTAGGTCGTTTGTGTACTTTAGTGTCGTCTGTAAGCTTTCTTTTTTGAGGTGGTGGAGTACAAGGAGGAGTGATGGGTGTGGTTTGCTTAAGAGAGAGATCGAGGGGTACCGATGGTTCATGGTAGTAGGAGAGGTATTGTTGAAGGAGCGTTGGATGCTGTTGTGGGACAAGATCGTGGAGATAGTTACTGGATATATGAACCGGTGGAGCTGCATATTGTTGGTAGAATCTTGAAGAAGCTAAGCGATGAAAGTGCGGCAAAGCTGCCTCCATATCTGTCGTTGTTTACTATTGAGATATAATCATTATTTTTGCTTCGTAAATACTTTCCTTACAATCATTTTATCTGTAATAAATAAAACGTATTATTTAATAGGAGGACAGCAAAACGTAAGAAAGGCAGACCACCCCCGTTGTTCAATCACAGAAGTGGACCATTTCACTGATTGTAACAACACGTAGTGAGAAATCGGTTTTCGAACAAATTATCTGTAAATATCTCAATAGATAACGTGTTTTCTATTATTGTCGCTTAAGTAATATGTCTAGATTCCGCTATAGACCATACAGAACAGTCGTATTAAATATCATAAGTTCAAATTATTGGGTAAGTACTAATTTGTAATGGCTTGCTTTATTTCTTCATTTACTTTTACCTTAATTAAAATACATAAATTTTTATACATTATACTTAAAAGTATATCAAAGTGTCAAGTATCAAAATATACAATGTTTCTAATATAACACAACGTTATCAATACTTTCAAAGACCTAGATTTCGCAAAATTAGACTCATACATAGCTAGCCATTTACTAAAAAGCTAGTAAATGAAATATAAACCCAAATTGTCATCGTTAGCTCTCACGGTCACCCCATTTCTGTCACCCTCAAACCAAGTACACCCTTTTTAAGCAAACTTTTTTTAAGCTTAAAGCAAACAACATGAATAAGGTATGTTTTAATGGTCGCATTATGGGTGAATTGTAAACACAAGAATAAATGTCTCATGGGATCATGCAAAACACAGATTATTACTACTTATACTGATCATAAGGTTTTATTAATTTTACTTTGTAATTAGTGACATATATTTAATTTAATAGTAATGGTAGATAGAATCGGTGACCCCAGAGCTGGTGCTTTCCTCGCTCAACGAATAAGTATCGCAATACAACGAGGAAATGGTGCCAGCATTAAAGGGCAGTATACCTCACAGGGACCAAACTTTTTAACTTTGTTTGAATTTTCTTTTTATTACTTTTGAATCATTTTTGTTATTACTATATAGGTTAAGAAATTTGTAAATATTGTTTATTGATTGTTATGTTTAATTTAATTCATATTAATATTTCTCGGTAACGGATTAAAGCAAATCGATTAACCACTAAGCCGCGTATCAGGATCGCAATACACAGTTGATTGCCTGGATTAAGGACACTAATGGACATTATTTTATAGCTATTATAAAAAGCTCACTTAAACAATTAATGAAAAAAGATTTAACGTCTATTAAGTAACACCGTTTATGATAATACTTAGGCTGGGCGGTACTATGTAGTGGGCGGATGCGTTGGGCGGGCGGCGCTCTTCAGATTAATAAAATATTCAAATAATTGAATAATGTATTTATATAGCGGCACTAATATAAACGCTACGTTAGTATTAAGTATAATATATACATTAAATTGTAGATGTAGAAACGATGAACAAATAAGAAATTGTATTTACAAAAGTTAAAAACGTGAATGGAGTTGAACAACTACTATGTCAACTATATTGCCTTACTTATATATAATGTTTCTTTATCAGAGGAGAAAATAAAACTAATCAATAATCACAACATTGAATAGTTATTTACAGTTTGTAGTACGTTTATGCATAAACAGGATAATCATAGTAATATGCTATTATTTATACGTTCTAAAATAATGTGTATGCCTAAGTATGTACAAGAAAATATGACGTCACACATTTAACACACATACAATTATATTAGAACATAAGTAATCTATCAAAGGAAAAAATTAATTGTGCTATTGTTTGTCTGGTATATATTATATATTTACAAGGAATATAATTAATTAGTCCATTTATTGCGAAAGGCTATCGACATATGACCTAATACCGGAGTAAAACCGTAGGGCACAACTAGCGAATTTCATTTTGTCAATCAGAGAAATGGGAGATGGTAAATTTTTGTGTAAATAAATAAAGGAACTAGAACTTTATTTCCGTTACAAGGCGACAAAATAAAATGAATTCACATTGATAAGACACTGTATTATTAACACCTTTGGTGAAAAGTGATGGTTTCGTTTAATTACCTATTCAGTTAACGTACAATTATAGATTGTACAGCGTTGAGTTATTACTATTATTATTTGGTTTCTTTAAATTGATTTATTTTCATTAAATCACCTTGTCCGTTATACACAAGTTAAAATATAGAAAACAACTTTATCAACTATAATTTTTATTTACGTTACTCATTAGCTTAATAACCTGTGTTTTAACTTACTATGGGGCACAGAGCATACATATTTCTCATCACCCATGTTTGCCTACCCGAAATAATGTATATGAACCGAAAATCATCAACTCAGATTCTATAAGAGTATTTACTTTAGTACTGTTATCAGTATTAATCGTGTACCTACGATATACTTATTAATTTGGCAAGAGTAAATTTTCTATGCCATTAAAAACATAACTTCTAAAAATACCAAGTCCAAACAAGGCAGTTTCTTCTACCATAAAAATTTGTGAGATCCAAGTCGATTAATTCAGTCAACTTAAGGGACTTTCTGTTCTAAGTTATTACGTAATTAGCTGACCTAAAAACATCTTATTCTAAACATACTAACTCTACAAATATTTTATGTTCAAAATTTTCTTAAATCATTCCTTAAGTTATTTTTAAATCAGGCTTTTAATTTTATCCACAATGAAGTTATAGGGGGTCGGAATTAACCTCTTCTGCTTTGAGTTGAATAATTATATTATAAACGCTTATGGCATGCAATTCAAAAAAGCAATTCTACTAAGATATCCACATACTGGTACATTGCTAGTAACATTTTTTATATAAGAACTATTCGTTATTTGGTTAGCTGTGTATAATTACTGAAATATATCTATGACAAGACCGATTTAGTGCTTCCATAGTTTCATACCGATCTATCTTAAGTTTCCTTCATCTTCATATTCGTATGATTCTAATAGTTTCATGTTTCGCAAAGTTCGACGCGTATGAAGAACCACAAGTTGCTTCCTGAGTAAGCGATACTGTCTAAGAAACTTCTGAGAAAACGTCTGTAGTGAGCTTTAGAACAAGTAACCCACAATGTATATATTTTATAAAGGCAAGCTGTAATTTTAAGTTCAGCGTCTATTTCAGAAGTCATGTTTCTTAGCAAGACCTTCTGCGCTCTTAATATGAATATAGCGCAGAATAGCTTTAAATGACACTGTCGTTACTTTTTGGTACAGCTTAATCGGAAAATTCCTTCTTGAAATTTAAATTACGGTAAATGAAGTCTTCAATATAGAAGCCACGGACTGAATCTGATAACAACTTATAGTACATATACCTTAGTGTAAATCTTTCAGCACAATGGTAATTAGTTAAATCATATTTCATTTTATTTACGCTCAGACGAATTCTTTTCGCGTCATCAATATATTTTAATTTCAATTGCAATTGTTGTATGTAATTTAAGTAACTATAGCTATTTTGTACAAGCCGAGTCATTAAATTTACTAAATTTACGTAGCGTATCTCAAAGCTCGTAGCATACAATTTGCTGGTCACTTTGCGCGGAAATCTTTGTTTTTTGGAATCTTTCTATTATTGTACTTGTAACATTACGAACAAAAAATACATACATATTAAGATTTTATGTGAAGTAATTTAAAAAATAAAAGCGGTCAATGTCATATTGTTGAAGGGTTATTCATGGAAAACGCAGGTGCGTGAGGGTGTTACTATGGCGAAAAAGCGAATGTGACTCATACCTGTTCCTGATCCTTTGATGACTCAGCCGGCACCCCTTGGAAAGCACAGAATGAACTCGGTTAACTTAATTTTAGTGATTTGAAAACGGAACGTTCTGAACTTATAAGTTGCGATCTATAATAGACGAGTATATTTGTTAGGGGTGCGCGACGTCCGCTCTGGGGCGCGTTCGGGATAGGACTGGCGAGTGGTAGCAGGGTGCTTACCTCGGCGCGTGCGGTCGGCACGGGTTTCAACCCTCCTACAGGATGTTCTACGAATTATTATTAACTGCTATATATATAGTGGTTGGAGCTACTGACTTATGATAGCGTAGACAATATGTTATTTCAATATTTATTTTCAATTTGATGTTAAATAATTTTATATTTAAAATTTGGCGCCTAAATAAAATTACTGTTTCTTTAAGTATATGTAAATGCCTCTTACATTCTAACTTTTGTTGTATCAATTAATCTAATTTGAATGTAGGAATATATTATGTGTTATGTTTAGTTAAAAGCACTTCCGGAACAACCTGTGTATGCCACTGAAGCGTGTGCTATACCCCTATAGCTATGTTTACGAAGTTTTTTAACCCGTGCTCAAGATAAGGCCCGCATCTTACATCACCTTGCCACTTGTTAGTTCACTGTCATTGAAATGTGCTTGTCTCTTTCTTATTTCATATAATGAACGCGAATAGATATATTTTTTCTGAACTTGATACATTCAAGGTAAAAAGTATCAGCAAATAATTAGTATTTGAGATTTAAATCGCTTTTTTTTTACTTCACCATTACGCTTTGGTAAAGTTCGTATACTATCATATATTATATATCGATATGTTCTTAACAGAAGAGATCAGGAGATGTGAAATAAAAGATAAATCTCCATCCGGGCGGTTCCGCCCGCCCAAGCGCCGCCCAATCGTAGCTCCGCCCAATTACCGCCCAAAGCGTGAAAATAATTGAATGTAATTGAATCATCATTCAATTAATAAAGTCTGGTGTCGTAATTACGCTCATTGTTTGAATTCACAGAATTTTGACTTAACATTTGATATAACTACATTATAATATTTTTATAATGTCAAATAATCACACTCGGCGTGGTAAGCGGTCGCAATGGCTTGCAGTACCTCGCGCGTACAAATTTACTCAGAGAAGCGCCATTTACGCGTGTCTTGCGCACCCAGAATATTATTGCATGGGAGACAGATATATTTAGTTGAACACTGGCTGAATTCACAAATGTGCATTATTTATAATTAGTTAT